TTTCTGCACCTGAGCAAACTTGCCCGGACTGAGGCGGAAGATGCGGGGTGAGCAGCAGCTCCGCTAAAGACGGAGAGGGGCCAAACTCTGAGCCGTGTTTCCATAGCAACATGGGTGGGCACATTTAGGGTGCATGGAGCGAGACGGGGCCATGCCTTTGTTTGGACCATGCGGAGCGCACCACAATGGGCCATGCCTCAGAGGCGGAGCTGTCACAGCCGCTGCCGCCGTCCACTGCTGCTGCTGCCGCAGCTCACAGCCGCAGCCGCCAAAAAATTCACAGTCAGATAAAAACATATATCCCCCCAAAATTTACATAGTCCCTTCTTCAGCAGGAAGTAGCCAGACGAGACTGTCGACGCCCATTTTCCCCCCATGACTTCAGGCAGTACCGATCGTAATTATCATAATAAAAGCGCAATTGAGGTTTAGACCCAACAATCAGGCAGTACCGTATTCTTTTAAAGCAAAGAACAGCTGCTACAGTAGACCTAGAGGTTTTTTCCATCTGAATGGGCCTGGAGAGTTGGCTCAGAGGTTAAGAGCACTGCCTGCTCTTCCTGAGGTTACAAGTTCAATTCCCAGTGACAACTGTTTGGTTTTAGACAAAAGAGGGGGACTAGCAGTGACAGCTTCCCCCAGAGAAAGGATTTCTCCTGCACTCTCTACACTTAATTTTTAATTCAAAATATTACTGGAAAAACAGCAGCAGACACTCTGTTTGAAAGCAATTCCGTCTAATTCTAAGGCCTGCTTTAATGGCACAGGCAAACAAGATTTGCTCTTTGGAACAGAGACATGCAAGTCTCTAAGTTCAAAACCAGCCTACTTCCAGTACTGATTGTGCTGAATTTTTACACTGAGTTTTTAGTACTCTTAAATGTTAATTTGGGAGGAGAGTTTTGTTTATGTTTTTCTAGGAATGCTGACATACAGCTGGGTGCCAGCAAGACTGACCAGAGAAATGAAGGATGCTGCAAGGGAAGATTCATGCGGAGGCAGCAGAGATGACCCTCTGGGCAGTGTCAAGAGCAGCTGTTTCACACAATCACCTTGAGCAGCACCCTGGGCAACCTCTTATCTCTTAACAATTTTCTGACTGACTCTATTTTGCCTTTTCCTTCCTTAGGAATGGGTGGGAGCAGAGATAATCTTGGCATGTTGTGTCTAGGTGGAAGTGCTGCATGTCTTTGATTGGTGTGCTACCTGCTAGCCCAAGTGAGGAGGGACAAGGTCTTTGTGGCACAGGCCTTGGCAGCCTTGGAATGTGAATCCTCACCCCAAGTTTGGCTCTCAGCCTTAAAGAGCTCATAGGCAATTAGCCATGCATAGCCTTTTCACCCTCTAGGGACCAGATAGTCCCAAGGCACAGAGGAAGGTATGCATTGGTGGAGGGTGTGTCTTGCTTTTCTTTCCTTTAATCAGTCCACACATCATGAGGTGGGGACCAGATTAGGAAATAGTTTTGCTTTATTGCTCTTAGTAATAATAGAAAGGAGGAGCTGTAGGGAGCCGCCAGGATGTCGCCTTGGCGAGATAGTGCCAGCAGTCCTACAGCCTGGAGGTAAACAAATCCTTTGATGCTGCCGTCCAGGCCAGTGTGCTTGGAGCCTTGTTTTGCATTTCAGAGATTTGGTTCCCTGACCTGTCCTGCGGCCTTGGGCCCTAGGAGAATGGCATCAACCAATCAGCATTCGAGCCTTTCACCCTAGAAAAGCAGCTGCCTCTGGGCTCTGCTTTCTCTCTGGCCTTTTCTCTCTCTCTGGCTTCCTCTCTCTAAGCTCTCTCTAAGCTCTCTCATCTCTCTCTCTAATCCTGCTCTCTCTGTCCTTTCTCTCTCTTCCCTTGCCCCAATTTTCCTCAATCGAGTGCTCCAAATAAAGACGTGATCAGGGAAGGAATTCTTGTTTTCGTGGCGTTCATTCCTGCTCATCAGGAAGCGCGCCGCAGATGACAACATCCAAATGTCAGCTTGAAGTAGTTGCAGAAAGGAACACATTGTCCTAATCTCCCTGCCCAGAATAGGTTGAAAGGATGAGACGGGGGGAACTTCCTGGAATAGGGGACAAAATGTTTACCTGTAGTATCTGTTGATACACCAGAAAAATAGATCCAGGGTTGTCAATTAATGGATTTATTAACTAAAATTGTCCTACAATAATAAGACTTTGGCTTTTGGTGCAGAATCTCAGAATCAAAGAGGACATCCAGGATTATTACTACAATTTGATTGTACTCAAAAGATCAGAGATACAGGGTCTGGTAAGCTGGCCACTGTCCAGGAAAAATCTGTTAGTTAATAGTTATTAGGTCTCAATAATATCTCCTTAAGCCCAGGGGCCAGCAGGACCCATGATTCGTATTTGTGAAGCGGGAAATGGAGGACCCAGCCATGATGATCTTTATAAAGGCCTGATTCTCAGTAACTTTCCCCGAGGCAATACCTGGTTGTAGGAAGGACCACAAACTGAGATTACCCAGGTACTACCCAGGAACAAAGCATTCAAAGGAAATTCCTAACTTTCCAACCATTGTAGATTGTACCACCTGCCAGCACACATTCACCAGGACACAGCTAGACAAATGTCAGCCAATCAGGAGTCTCGAACCGTAAAAATCCCTTACCCCACCATTACTACTATAAAAACAAACTCTAATTGAGATTGGTGCTCTCTAATCATGCAATACAGTGGACATACAGAGGGTCTGAGTTTGTAAACTCATGTAGAATAAAGATTCTGCTTTTACAAATTGAACTCACTCTCCTTTTTGGTTGTTGAGGGACTTTGTATATCTGGATATAACACCAACATCTAGAAGTTAGCTGATATCCAAGGGCATTGCTTCTTCTCTTACTTCTCTCAATGTACCCTGCCCTAGGCTGAGTTTGGGAAAAATGCTAGATCTCCAGTGAGGGTCTCTATACTGGTAAAGTGATAAGTTCCCTAAGCACACCCAGCAGTAATGGGCTGGGCCTCTAAGATTCTTTTGTCCACAGTTACACTGGTCTCATAGGGCCCACTGGCTTCAGAGAAACAGGGAATTTGTCTGCCCTCCACTATGTTATACCAACAGCTACATTAATAACATATCGCCCAGTCTGTGCCAGCACTAGCTGCAGAAATTAAGGTCAGATGTTACTGAGTGTTCTGCCCTAAGCATTATACCAGGACCCTTTCACTCACAAAGGTGATATGATCATGTTTCCCTGGTATTTAGGAATCATGAAGATATCTTCAACTCCTGACACAGAAGAAAACGTGAGTCTCTTATCATCCCATCCTATCCTCTGAAAAGGATATTTTCTCAAATAAGCAAAATTATTGCCTTTTATAAAAGAGAAAAGGAAAAGAGATGAAAATGAATGGAAGGAAGGAGGTCCTTCATCCCTAAGAAGGACCTTAGTAGGTATATTTGTAAATATTCTCTGGTGGAACTTAACTGATACAATGAATATATATGGGATTTATTAGATTGGCTTTGTGCTAAGGTCTAGCTAGTTCAAAATTGGCTGTCTACCAAAGGAAAGAAAGTTCATGAAAGCAGAAGTTTTTCATCCTAAAGGCTGTATGCCTCAGCCCCTCCTCAGTATATTCCATAATCCTGAAGATGTAAAAAAGCAAAGGAATGGATTTTCAACCCAGAGTGAGACAAGCAAGCAAGAAGAAGAGAGAGAAAGCGAGAGAGAGAGAGAGAGAGAGAGAGAGAGAGAGAGAGAGATTTATTCTTCTATCCTTTATCTAGGTTTTCATGGATTAAGGTCTAGGTTCGCACCACAAAAGACCTAGATTAAAAGTAGGTCTTCCCACTTCAAATGATTTAATAAAGAATGAAAAAAACATCCCCTGCAGTTGTGTCTAAGTGCTTGTGTTTAAAGTGGACAACTAAGAATAGACATTGCAGTAGATACAATTACTCTATCACAACTTTAAATTAATTAATAAGAGCTTTGAAAAGTGTTTGAAATTTAAGATGAAAGACCCCCAAGGGATGCCTTCCTTCGGGAGAGACCCCGTGCCCAAGGATCAATTGAGACCACTAGTATGGATGCAAACAGCAAGAGGTTTTTTTCGGATACACAGGTACCTGGGGCAACAAAGTCTCTCAGAGGACTTGCACGCCATCAGGCTGGGGCGAGGGGTTTTTATAGGAGAGGTAAAGCGCGGGTACAGAAGCGAGATGCATGGTTACAAGAATTTCCATTGGTCAATTCAAATAAGGCCATTGGCTCATGCTGAGTGGCAAATTCTTGGCCTTTCACCTAAATAACAAGGAGGGGGTTGCCCAGAGGCTTTCTATTCTTCTTATCTCTTCCTCCTTCCCCTACCTGGAGATCAGATGTCTGATTGTAGATATCCTGACTCATTCTTCCTCCCTCCCCTGGCTGGAGACCAGATGTCTGATTGTAGATATCCTGACTCATTCTTCCTCCCTCCCCTGGCTGGAGACCAGATGTCTGACTCATGACAAGCTCTGACTTGTTTGTTTCTTAATCCTTGCAATATGGCATTACTGCTACTAGCATCCAGAGTGGTATTTTCTTCTTTTTCTTCTTCAAAGAGAAATGACAAAACAAGCCAACTAGTAAAGAAATAAAGCTGAATATAAAAAACATAATGCTAAAGTACTTACTATAGCAGCAGATTTCAATCTAATTATTTTACAAATTTTGTGTTTGTTCATATTAATCTTGTAAATCTTATTAATCTTGTAAATGAAGTCAGTTCTCCTTCATTTTATATTTTTGTAACCTCAGCCTTAAATTTTTTAGCAACTCTCTGAAGAAAGCACAGCTACTTTTAAAAAGGGACCAAAGACTCAGACCTCAAAGCCTCATATCCTTACTTAACTAGGGCACAAAGGCCATAAGATGATGTCTTGGAAGGATTGGTCCTAGCCCAGGGAACAACTCCAAAATTCATGATTGAAATGAGATTTCACTTGACAGGTGAAACAAAGATGCACTAGTAAGTATATAACATCACTTATACCCAGCTTACCAAAATCTCGGAGTACAACTGCGAGAGTGGAAGTTTGGAGAATTTCAGCGACTTTGGAATGACAGTAGCAGATCCTAGATGAACTTGGTGGGTTCCAACATCCCTGTCACTGCCTAGCTAATGTTGCATTCCATCCAGATAGCTTACCAGGCTCTCCTCTCCCCATCACTTTAATTCATTTCCTGGCCTTCCCTGGGGAAAAAGTTTCTCTTTGTGTCTCCAGGCATGGCTGTTTTGCTTTCCCTCTCCTAATCCAGTAACTCACCATTTATGTTAAACAACTCTAAAGACATTCTGCCCCATTGCTCTCCAGAGAAATTGCTTTGACCTCTCCCCTGGGGACTTCATTCCAGAAATACAACCTCTATCTGTTTTGCAGTAAGAGATAGCAGGGGTTTAAATATAAGCCTGGAGAAGTCTTATTTTTAGCTGTGACATTCTTTTTTCCTCAAATGAATTGATCAAACCTATTACACAAGGCTAGTTTGAACAAACATTTTGTTAATATGTAAGAGGAATTCGGGGATAAATAAAAATACACTTTGCACCTCATATGTGCTGGCATTTAAATATAATTACTGCACATTAAACTTGCTCACAGGAATCACTATTCACAAATCTGGAAGGTTAATAGCTGCCTAGGCAGCCACATCCAACAGAAGTACCAACATTATGCTTCTATGTCTCATGAAATGGAGCTAAGAAGAGTCTATAGGGTAAAGAATTTTAATCTGAAATGACAGATTGGCTAGATTATCAAATGTATTAACAGAACATAGATATACTTCTTAGTAACTGTAATACAAGGCTATATATCTGTTTATATGTATATAGGCAACCCTAAGTGTGGTAGACTGAAAGAAAATATCCTACAAAGCGAGTGGCACTATTAGGAGGTGTGGCCTTGTAATAGCTGTAGTCTTGCTGGAGGAAATACAACACTGTGGGAGTGGGCTTTGAGGTCGCATATACATAATCCAAGCCCAGTGTCTCATACTATTTTCTGTTACCAGAAGAAGATATAGAACTTTAATGACTTTTCCAGCACCATGGTTGCCTACACAGCATGTCTTGCCATGAAGATAATGAATGAAACTTCTGAAACTGTAAGTTATCCTCATTTAAATGTTTACCTTTATAAGAGTTGTTCTTGTCACGGTGTCTCTTCACAATAGAAACCCTCACTAAGACAATAAGATTAAAATTAGTCGTCTGACATATGGCAGGCCAGAACCGAACCACAGCATCATTGAATGGAATCTCCATCCCATCAATTTTTTTCTTTTCCATTTAATTTTTTTTTAGACAGAATTCTCATAAAACTATCCATTCTTACCTTGAATTTACTCTCTTTCTCCCTCTGGTTGTGAACTCAGTCCTCCTTCCTCTTCCTAGCAAGAAGTAGAAATTTTATCTCCAGGGATTAACCCTACAGCTTTCTGCATGCCAAGAAAGCATTCTATCACTGAACTATATTTTTCTACAGTCTGTTAAACCTTTGAAAGAACCAATTATTAGGGGGGAAGTACTCTCAGGTCACCATAAGCCAGACAGTTTATCTTACCATCTTCACACACACTGTAGTAAAATAAAGGAACCTACCACCAAGATTTGTTTCCTTATATCTCTTTACTCAACAGGAGAAAGATATGAAAACAAATAAGTTTATTATAGATTATGACAATGTAATGGTTAACTAATAGAGAAGTGACAGGAGAAGTTTTCTTAATGTGCCAGGGGAAACGCAAATTAAATAGTGATGGTAAGTAGTATGATGAGCAGTGGAGAAAAAGTAAAGTTAGAATTTCAGAAAACACTAAAATTTTTATGTAAGATATGAAATATGGTGCAGGCTGACCCACACATGTCTGTAAATTAAGCCGAAAGAACCTCAAAGCCTGTTCCTTTTCACCACGTAAACCAGGACGGCTTCACAATACATCTTGTGGAATATGAGTTTCGTCCTCTAAGTGGATATCTGCTTAGATGTCTTAGCCAAAAAGTGATAGAAAAAATACTGGGTTTTATAATCTTTCAGACAGCAATTGAGAGGGGAAAATGTAGAAATTACACTCAGTAGACAGAGACTGAGATTCTGAACTAACAACGTTTTTGCTAGAAGGTTGAAATAGAACATAAGCAAGCAACAAACTCTTCGTGGAGTCCTTTATATATTCTAGACATTGGACTCTTTCCAATGTTTGATTAAAAAGGCCTTCTCTCATTCTGCAGCCTCTTAATTCCATGCAGAGTTTCTTTTCCTGTGTGGAAGCTTTTTAATTTCAGTCACATTTATTCCATGCTGTTGTTTTCTGAGTTCTTACAGATTTTTGCAGGATATTCTTCCCATGTGTCTATCTTCAAGTGTTTCCCCTGGCAGGTTTTGAATCCATGGTCTTTTTGTTATTATTTTATTGAAAGTAGTTGTTTTTCACAAAATTTATTGTGGTCAAGATTTCCCCTCCCTCATCTCCTCCCAGATCCTCCTTTCCTCCCTATCCATCAAATCTTTAGAAAACAAGACAAAAGCAGGTAAATGAGAAAAAAAATAAATCAAAAAGAAGAAAACAAGTAAAAAGCAAAATAGCAACAAGCAGGAGATCAGGTGGGCTTGCCCAGACCTTCTCTTCTACCTGTTTCCCCAGACCCAATCCCTCAGTCTCCTCTCTAACATTGCAACAGAACACCAGCTGCAAGCTCCCTGCTCTTCTTTCCAGGTCTTCTATGGATCCTCCAGACCAGCCCCTCCTAAACTCCCTCCCATCAATCACTGCTATATTCTAATTCCCAAGTCAAACCTTAGCTCCCTGCTCACCTTCAGGGCCAGCGTTCTAGAAAACCAGGTGGACTGCCTGCACACCTTCTTCCCTCTCTCTGCTCCCCTAGAGTCAATCCCTCAGTCTCCTCCTAGCACTTCAACAGATCACCAGCTGTAGCATCCGTTCCCCCTTGTCCATGTCTCCTATGGAATCCACAAGTAAGCCACTCCTGACATCCGTCCACACCTTGTGACAGTATCCAAGCCTCCAATATCAACTGGCATTCTCTGTGAATACACCAGCCAAGGAAGTCAATAAAACAGGCAACACACAGTCATCACACTCTATGAAAAACACAAATAGGAAACATAAACCAAGGAACAAACTCCCACTCAACAAAGACAAACACTTAATCAGCACCTAGACCAATAAGCAACCGAAACCCAGATGCTTAGGCACCAGCATATGAACAGAATCAGTAACAACAAGGTCAATATATGACTCCACTGTGGCCCAGCTATCTTACCATAGCAGGTCCTAAATAATTCAACATAGCTGAAATGCAACAAAAAAACTTTAAAACAAAATATAAAGGTAATAGAGGTCCCGAAAGAGGAAATGAATGGAGGAAATCAAGGAAAACGTGAACAAAGAATTGGAGGAAATAAATAAATTCCTTAAAGAAATCCAAGAATAAATAAAGGAAACACTGAAGGAAATAAATAAAACTTTTAAGACCTGAAAATGGAATAGGAAACAAGGAAGAAACTGAAGGAATTTTGGAAATGAAAGATTCAAGAATTTGAACAGGAATTATTGAGGCAAACTTCACCAACAGAAGACAAGAAATGGGAGCAAAAATCTCAGGCATTGAAGAAATTATGGGAAAAAAAGAAGATATCTCTGTCACCAGTAAAAGAAAATGTTAAATCTGAAATATCCTAACACAAAACATCCAGGAAATCTAGGAGACTATGAAAAATTAACCAAAGAATAGGAAGAGAGAAGAAGAAGAAACTCAACTCAGTGGTCTGCAAAATATTTTTAACCATATCTTAAAGAAAATTATCTAACCTCAGGCACAGGTACGTACACCTGTACAACAAATAAGTGAATAAAGGGTTTTTAAAAGAAAGAATCAATAAGTCTAAGGGATAACTAGATTTTCACATATTTACAGATGGTAGGGAAATATTTCTTTTTAAAGAATGTAGTGTGTAAAATCTGACTAAAACACAGTTCTACAAAATAGAAAACACTTTGAATTTTAAAAGATCATATAAAAATTTAACTATGATATCCTCTAAATTATCATCAGTCTATTTAAAACAATAACATGGATTTTTAAAAAATTATTAAACATAGTTGAACAGGGTTGTAGATGCTAGAAATGCATTATTTGGAGGCTGAAAGAAGAATGGGCCCTATACTGCATAATGAGACACTGTCCCATCAACGGATTAAAAATAATGGACTAACTAATTGTCCATACAGAAACTATAATGTTAAGTTCAAAATTTCCTTGTATTTAAATCTAAAATTTTCTTATGTTTCTAGGATGTAAGTATACCTAAGGGTATGCCTTGAATATCCAGAAATATACACAGAACCATTTTACAAACTTTCTGTTTCAAGTTTTATAACAACATAATAATTAAGTTCCAAAAGACTGCTAAAGATATTAATTATATGCTTAACATCTTTCAAATGTTCTAAAAAGTTTATGATATTCTAAAAAGTTTATGTTGCATTCTCTGATTTTGTTACACTGTCTGAGCAGCCTCCCTCCTAGAACATCTTTTGAAACATCTTTACTTACACATGCATCTCCTGACAAGTCAATATAGTAGTTATACTCTGGGCAGTATCTCTGTATTTATACATTTTGTTATTATTTTCTAAGATAGTCCCTGAAGTCTTAACTCCCTACAAAAGACTATTTTCTAATGTTTCAGGACAGTTGAGATTGGAAGCTTTGGGAACACTCAGATCCAGTCTTGATATTTTAAGTTCTTCTTTTGTGATATAGAGGTACAGTTTTTGTTTTGTTGTGATGATTAGGATATATTATAAGAAATGATGAAGCATAAGTATGACAAAGCAGTCCCTCAAGAATTACAATTATCAGTACTTTTTAAAATGTATTGATTCTGGTAATGTGCTAAGCTACATGCTGATGTGGGTTGCTAGGGCAGATAAAGTATAGGAGGACTGTATGGGGTACAGGAGAACATGTTTCTAAACTTAAGTATACATATAAAATAAATGTACATAAAATATATATTATATTTATTGTAGAATATATAACAATGCTTCCTTCCATTTCTACTCTGCAAATAAACTTCTGTACCCCACCCTCTTTAATGTCTTTTAAATGCATTGCCATTTTTAAGTTCTTATAATTACAAACACACACATATTTTTATAGACATGTAGAGACACATATGTATATAGACATGTATACACACATATATCATATATATATGTATATATTATTGATTGCATAAATTCAACCTGTCCAATTCTCCTGACTGATAATTTGGTATTGGAAATCAATTGGTGT